AGATCTGAGTTCAAATCTAGCCACAGACACTGACTAGCTGTGTGACCTTGGACAAGTCACTCAACCCCTATTTGCCTCAGTTCCTCATCTATAAAATGGGGACATATTGGAGAAGGAAATGGCAAACCACCCCAGTATCTTCATGAAGAAAGCCTCATGGAGAGTCCATAGAGTCTCATAGAGCTGGACATGACTGAACAACAATGACATAACGAATTAAGATTTGAAAAGTGCTCTACATACATGATCGTATTTGTTTTTTCATAGGAGGCCTGTGAGATAGGTGACACCAAAAGAGAAAACATGTATAAAATGCTTTGTAAATTAAACAGGGAAACTGGGGCCAGAGAACAGTGTGTGATTTGAATCCAGGTCTCTCCCCTCGCTCCAGATCCAGCACTCTTTTCCATTATACCACTAAATTTCCTTTCAGAGGATTATAGAATTTAAATATATTTTTTCTCTAATATCCTAGTTTAACAATGAGGAAACTGAGGTCCAAAGGAATTCAGTGGCTTCCACTAGGTCACATGGGTAGTAAGTATCAGAGCTAAGATTCAAACCAAGAGTCTCTGCCTTCAAATCCAGAGCTCTTTCCTCTATACCAGATTTCCTCTTGGGATATTCTTTTCCTAGGACATCCCATAGCACTCTGCTCATACCTTTTCCGTGCTGTCCTGTTCTACTGTGCGTTAGTTATGGGTCTCTATTGCAAACAAATTTCCTCATGTTCCATATGTGTTCTATGCTACTAAACTGCATGAAGGCAACGGCCTTGTCTTATTGATCTTGCTGTTCTCCACAGTGTCTAGTCCAATGCACTTAAATAATTACTCCTATCTTGTTGTTAAGGAATCTCTTTACGTAAAAATATCTGTTTTCATATTTACTTATCCAAACATATTGCTCTTAAAGGAAAGACAAACATGTTGAAATTCAGTCATGTGCATGTCACAGGACAGAATAACAAAAATATCATGGTAATGTTACTTAACTCATGCCCATTGGCTTCTAAAGCTGAGAATAAAATCCTGGTTTATTAGTACCTGCAGTTAAACTTTAAAAGGCTATTTTTCACATTTAAAAAAAATGAACTTTCCTCCGTTTTAAATTAAATGCCTCAAGAAAAAAGATGGTCTACTTTCAAACCCTCATTTATTAATTGCATTGAGCAGATTCTCAACTTATCTTTTATATCCTTCTCTAGACTCATCATCCAA